CAAACTTCATAGTATTTTTCTCATTACTCATGTCATTTTAAAGTGGAATTCTCTCTGTTATGCTTAACTCTCTACAATGTAGCTTCCACTAATTTCATTTCATTGAAATGGGTCTCTTGAAATTCACCCATTATTTCTCCACTGGAACCAGGCATAACCCTCTGGTGCTTTCCCATCTTGGTGTTTTTCCCCTCTGTATCCTATGTTCACTGTTCCTTTTTATCAACATCCTACTCATCATTCAAGGCTCAGCTCAAATACTACCTTTACTATGAAAACTTTCCAGCTATCCCATGACAGAAATAAGTCATTCTACACTGGACCCTTGAATAACATACACCAATGCTAAGGCACACATTATTTTATAATCCAAAGAAGAGGCATTCAGAGTAAAATAGCAATGTCTACAGGAAAAGTGGTTTAGTGGCCTTACACAGGAGTATGATTTTGTGCAAATGTGTAGGTCTGATTTCAGTTCTAGTCCTAAGTTACCTGGCTTCCAAGGACGTTTTGAAAACCCTACTTTCATGACTATGGCTGATGAAGAATACAACCATACTGTTAGAAATTCACTGATTTAGCAAGAGAACAAGTCTACCAGAGATACCACAGTAACAGAGCACTCACTATGGAGAAACAGAGAACATCCTGGGTTGTTATACAGAAGTAAGGCAGAAGCAAACATCCCATATCAGACTACCCTGCAATGGTCAAGAACAGCACGAACAATGACAAATAACAAAACCAAATCCTACTATGAAAAAGCCATTCTGTTGGATCACCATGGTTAATAGAGACCAAAAGTTCCTTAAGAAAAGGAATTAGGACACTGACTTTAATCCTATAGTATATCCTTTATAAGTCATCATGCATTTCCAATGAGAGTAAGGATTCATCCATTAACAAATCTGTATCATTTTCACGAAATGCCGAATTGATGAAACTCTTTAGTTACTATTCCATATAGAACCCTTCTTCTACCTCTAAATTTCAGTGAAATATGGATAATAATAATAATATCCACCTCATAAATTGCCACAAGGTGCTTATTGCATCCTGCAAAGCCCTTACTATCATCATGATTGCTGGAAGATATCCATTTACCCTCACCCTTACCTACCCTGCAGGATAAGAACACAGACAATGGAGATGGACTGCCTGGATGCAAATCCAATTCTATCACTTACTAATTGTGAAACATTAATTAATTCATTTAATCATGCTGTGCCTCAGTTTCCTCTTTTATCAAATATGGATAAAAATAGCACCTATCTCAAGGCTGAAGTGAGCATGAAATGAACTAATCTAAGTGCTACAACAGTGTCTGGCACATAGTCAGTGCTACATACTACAGACTGCTACATTAAGTGGCACTGTCATTGTTGGCACAATGGCACACATATAGTAGACATTCAAAAGTGTGCTGATGACTAGATAAGCAAAAACACAAAAGGTAGATGTTGTACTTGAGAAGAGAAGATGGAGCCAGATTTCACAGGCCTGAAGAGCTCAGTTTGAGAACATTCCTCTTAAGAATCATTTCCTTTCATGTAGATGAGAATATAGACATCGTGTTCCATGTCAATTCTAGAAATCAGTCATCACTGTGGGAAAACAACTTCGTAATATTTAATAGTTTTTGATGTTATATTAGAAAACAGTTTTCTCCCTTTGAATGTTCTGGAAGCAAAGCACTCATTTTAAAAAGTGGTCTAGCTGGGCACAATGGTATAACATTTTTAGTCCCAACTAGTGGGGAGGCTGAGGCAGGAAGATCACCTGAACCCAGGGGTTCTGGGCTGTAGTATGCTTTGCTGATGGGGTGTCTACACCAAGTTCAGCATTAGTATGGTGACCTCCTAGGAACGAGGGACTACCAGGTTGTCTAAGGAGAGATGAACCAGCCGAGGTGAAAATGATATAAGTCAAAACTTCTGTGTTGGTCAGTAGTCAGATCATGCCTGTGAATAGCCACTGCATTCCAGCCTGGGCAAGATAGTAAGACCCAGTCTCTTTAAAACAAAATAAATAAAATATGAAATAAAATGGGGTTAAAATTCCAGGGCCAGAGGAAAACCTATTAGCTGCCTATTTATAAGGCAGGAATTAGGATTCCTAATGTGCTGCCCAAAGCAGCGCAGCCAAGGACAGACCTAGCACCAGCCTCCCCAAATGTTCCTTTAAGTTATTTCAAGTCACTGGGAGCCAGTCACCTGGAAAAGAACATACATAGGGGAATCAGAAGGAGATAAACCTGCTTTAGTTAAGGTGTCCAGCTTAGCTAAAAATCTTATTAAAGTCTTAATGCACAACATAGGGCAAGCAGGCTAAAGTGATAAGCTTTGGGATTTGTCTGATAATCCACCTATTCCACAAGGCAGGAAGCCTTCAAGTCTTTCATATGGAACAGCATTCTAAGGCAAAGCCAGCAGCAGACTGAGGTCAGCTATCTACCAGCCTATAATCAGGGTTCTATACAATGGCAACTTTAAGTTGTAACCCCCAAATCAGTCAAAAATCCCCAGAGAATAAGACATTTTGGATAGTCATGCTATGGACATAGTTGAGATACTGTTTCCCCTGTTTAACCATCAAAACGTTTATGAAAACTATGAGACTGAAATTGTTCTTAAGAATACATTACAATTCTTTTTAAATAGTATCATAAATATAATTTAAACTTTTCTCAAGGTCAAGGGTTATTAATAAAAACCTCTCTCCTGAAGTATGTCTGTCAGTTATGATTGGCAGGTACTGCTCCCTAACTTAAATCTCTAGACAGAGCAGAAATATATATAGCATTATCTCAACTTGGGTTTTCCCAGGACCCATGGTTCTCTAATGAACAGAGCTCCTTTAAAATTTTGTCTGAGTTGAGAACAGAGATGAATTCTTGGGGTGCTACTGCTCTTTTATACCCAGGTGTAAATACCACCAGTATTTTCCACAGTCCTTACTTGGACCATCTATGCCGGGGGTCCTCAAACTTTTTAAACAGGGGGCCAGTTCACTGTCCCTCAGACCGTTGGAGGGCTGGACTATAGTTAAAAAATAACTCTGAACAAATTCCTATACACACTGCACATATCTTATTTTGAAGTAAAAATACAAATGGGCCAAAACACCTGCATGTGGCCCGCGGGCCATAGTTTGAGGACGCCTGATATGCCTTTCCATTTAGTGGAATGTTTACAGACATCGTGCTCTCAGGCTGTTAAGTCAAACTCAGCACCAGAAATGCCACGTCCTCCCCTGGTGTCCCTACTTCCAGCTTCTAGGTGTCCTAGAAAGGCTTCTCTGTCATGCCCACCTGATTCTGAGTCAATACCATTTTACCTGTGTTCCAGGGACATAATCACAAATCCATTCTCTTTCATCTCTTTTAAACTTCATGCTGGCCACTTCTAATCTTCTCTTGGCTGGGAATTAAAGGTTTATTAAAAATACTTGCAGAAATCAAGCTAATAGTTTCAATGAGAGTTTGAGGGTTCCTCTCACACACTAAAAAATACACATACTTTGAAACAACTATTTCAACTGCTTATAGGTTCTCAGATAATATTGCTAGAAGCTAAGTTCAGGATGAGTAAGAGGCTACTGTGGTGTTATTGCTAGAGGGAACTTTGGTGGGAAAATGGCATTTACTGAGTACCTCACATGTTCCATTTGCCTTGAATGTTCTTTCCCTAAATACTCTTCACTTTGTTCAGGTACCTGCTCACCTATCGCCTTATCTGTGGCCTTCCCCAACCACTCTAGGTAAAATGACATTCTTCATTCCTGTCTTTCTGTAGACCCCATTCCTTGCTTTATTTTAGCTCTTGATATACTATGTGCAGTATTTATTTATTTGTCTATTGCCTGTTTCCATGACAATGGCAGGTCAATGACACAGTTGGCGTATCTGTTGTATATAGGTGCTCAATAAATATCTCTTGAACAAATGACCCAAAGATTGTTAAATACTTTACATATCATGTCATTTTAATCTTCCTAATCCTTCGAGTCACATATTCCAAGACTTTTTATAGACAGAGACACTGAGGTTAGTTGCTCAATACTTGGAGGGTATAATGTCATGGCTAAGAGCATGGCCCCTGGAACCAGAATGTCTGGCTTATAGCGTGGCTCAGCCACTGTCTGTCTCTGTGATGTTGGGCAAGTCCCAGAACCATTCTGGACCTGGGTCTCTTTATCTGTAAATGGCAATAATAACAGTACTGCTTTATCAAGTTGTGGTAAGGACCTTCTATATATAAAGAGCTTAAACAGTTCACAGCTCATAGGAGGTGCTACATAAGAGTTAAATAAATAAAAATAAAATCTTAGCTGAGGAACACCTTATAACAAGCACTAACTTTCTCATTCTGAACTCTTACTCATTTAACAACTTCCTGATTATAACCAGGCTTTCTGGTTCATCCGTCTATGGAGGAAGTACAGACGTGGTTATTCTGGCCCGTGTGACACAGTTACGTATTTCTCAGCACCAATTATTCAATCAGCGAGTCCTGTTTCATGTGCTCACAAAATCAGGGTTTTGAACCAATAAGACTGAGGCTCAAACCTGGATAGTGTCACAAAGACACTCCTTGTGCAGCTGCTTGCTTGGAGACCTTCTAGCCACTCTCTCCAACCAACACTACACCTTGTTATTCAAGTATCTACAAAATAAGCTGTATAACTAGGGAGAAAGATGTGTTATTGCTTAAGGAATCTTGTCTCTAATTAGCAGAAAATGGAGAGAGATGACAGGTAGGAGAAAACCCAGGGAAAAGTGAGTGTTTCACAAACTTCACACCCCTCTACTCCACACACTACTTCAGAATAGCACAGCAGTCATAAACAGCCTGTCTCTCCGGGTTTCACCTGAACTAGGAGATGGAATGTTTCACCTCACAAAGAGCTTTCAGCATCACTTGAAGGGTAAGGACACGTGCCAAAGCCACAGGCAGCCCACAGTCATTCAACAGCTCCCTACGGCAGCTCCCCTGTGTTACCTTGCCCTGATGATCGTGTTTCATTTCCCAGCCCCTCGGCAGCTCTAGCTGTTTGTTCGCAAACATGTTGAGGAATCCCACGAGGTCCCGGTTATGCTGGTAACGTTCAAAGTGGTGGGTGTCCCTTCGGACTTTGGTGATCATGTGCTTCAAACACGTGTTGTTTGTAAACATGCGGTAGGCACTCTGGAGACAAGAATGGAGACCCAATGTTAACCTGCTTGTGACACACAAAGGAACCATGAATATTACACATGGGTATAGCGAGGCTTCCAGTAGTATATAAAATGCATATATAACCTTTGAAAGAACACTAGACCCACACATGGAAACGGCAGAGCAAAATATCTTGAACAAAATAAAATACAAAGACTACAGAAGGTCAGGCAGTCTCTACAGTTGGAGTCTAGTGTTCTAAAGAAGAGTGTAGTGGAGTCTCCTTCCACAAGGGACGTTAGGTCCTAAAGTTGCTTTTGGGCAAAAACACCACACAGTCCGAATTAAACCTTACAGGGAGCCCCAACACAGCCAGTTTTCACCCCAGCATTGGCCTAGATCATTGATTCAGCTGGCATACATTTAGGGGTCAAGCTGTATGGAAGAGCACTTGCCATATGTTTCAGTACCAGAAGGACATGCAACGGGATGAGCTGCTGTCAGTGACAGTCACACTCAGCTGAGACCACAGTAGACTGAGCTTTTCATCTCACCCTTCTCAGAGGCATAAGCTCAGTGAATAGAAAAGCAAGAAGAGCTTCCTGAACTGTATATCTCATTATTTTTTTCTTTCTCTCTCTTTTTTCCTGTCCATATATGGTTGAATGTATATAACTGAAATGCGAGTTTAATAAAAGTGCACTATACCGCCATACGGAAAAGTGATTGCTTTGTCAAAAACCTTATGGTCTTCATGTCTATGATACTTAAAGAAGATTCCAAAAATTGATTGTAAGCCATGGTTGTCCACACATGAGTCAGCCAACAGAAAGATATTCATTGCATACTATGCTATGCCAAGCAGCAGAAAGGGAATAACTGTATGAGAGCTATTTCCTTGAATCATCAAGAAGAATGTGATATCATGAAATTGACCAGGCTATCAATGATCTATCCTGGAATTCTGTTCTTCTCAGATTGATTCAAAGGGCTTTGGACTCTTCTTATTTTTAGTATCTCAGGGACGCTAGCCTGAGTCTGGAGGCCTTCAAGCTTTATTTCATGGGTTCTGTTATTTGTTTCTAAGACAGTCCAAGGAAAACTCCAAAGACACCAGAGTCCCTGAAAATTATTTCATTCTAATAAACATTTACTCTCTTTGCTATGCCCAATACTATTAGTTATTAGGGGTAGGTAAAAGATGAATGAGTATGAGTACAGTCAACATTGCTCCTGTCTTTCCAGGCTCCCTCAGGACATGCTATGCCCTGGTCAAAGCATTTATTGCCAGCGTGTGTCCCTCTAGAGCTGTCTTCCCTTTGGCACAGCAATGTCTGAAATGGAGGCTGCTCCCAGCCTAGCTCTCTGGGTCCCTGAATAACTACAGGGATCAGAGAACTGACAACATGACTTGAAATGAAAAATAAACTTCTGTTAGCTTAAGCCACTGAGATTTGTTGGTTGCAGTTACTGAAGTATAACTTAAACTATCCTGATAGATTCACCATCATTAAAAACATGTTCCCTATCAAAACAAATGGACGGACGGACGGAAGGAGAGAGAAATTTGGGAAAGAGGGAGAGAAGAAGAAAGAAGACCACACTGAACTATCCTCAAATCTTAGTTCCTTAGTACACCGGAGTATAAGATACTCTGGAGTCGTATTTCAACCTGACAGTCCCAAGGAGTGGAGGTATGCGTGGTTCAGAGCACAGGGTACTGCAGATGCAGGCAGGTCTGTGCAGAGGCTTTGGGCAATTAGAGAGAATTAGAAAAAGTGATACCTAAAAGCCTAGAAGGAGACTAATAAAAGAAGTTGTAGGTTGTCAGACACAACCTAATTTACCTAACTAATAGTTTGGCCTGTGGCTGACTCTGCTTTGGAATTTTAACACATTGACTGCCATGTGAGTTGTATTTAACTCAGGCTAGTTTTGAGCCTGGGGCCTCGTGATTGCAGTTGGTCAGTGAAAATCTTGTTGATGTTCTTATCGTTACAATTAATATTGACAAATTAACTCTAAAAACATGCATCACGTTGCATATAACTCACGCACAGAAAACAATAAAAAGATAAAAAATTAGAAAGGATTGTTTTGTTTTAGTAGAACACCATGACCCCAGTAAAAAAAATTTTTTTCTAGTGTGGCAGTCGATGTGTTAAATACAATCAGAAGGCATCTGTTTTCTGCATTGGGCCCAGTGTTGCTGATACATTTTCACATAAGCAGCCTGAGACCACACTGGTTTATGTAGCAATCACAGTGAGCTTTTAAGTCTTACTCCCTGGTAAGTCTTCTTTGGGGAAAACTTATTGTGAGGGTAATTCTGTTGGATAAACCACTATATTAGCTGTTGTTCTAAATAGGTATACCACTTAGTCCCCCCTTCACTTCTCCCCCTTCCTCTTAAAATAAGGAATCTAGATGTGGCCTACTTACTTATCTAGAGCACCAGAGATGCTCCTCACTTTGCTAAAGAAGCAGAGCTTCATTATGGCAAGAAGTAGTGGCAATTAGGTTAAGGAACCCATCCCAGCCTCAGGCTTGAAGTAATTCTCTGGGGTTGAACAGCTCTTTAAGCACAAAAATCTTAAGGCTGATCTTATAATTAATTACGTCCTTTCATCTTCCTCTTCGCCACTCAGTGAGACATGTGATATAGTGCCAAGTTAGACTGATCTTTGTAAAAAGCGTCTACCAAACTAACTTCAGTGCAAGACAGATTTCTCTCATTAGTAGCTAGAAAACAACCCTTAGACCCACAGCCTTTTCAAGTCTGAATAATATGTATTTGACTGTTAGGGTACACTTAAGGCAAATATGAATATTCCTCTAGACTGCTATGTTTCTATAAGGAAACTTTTTGAATAAGCATATATGTTTATGCAAAACTGTGTGCATATATATTGCATGTATGTATATACATACATATATGTATAGTCCAAAAAGGATATTTATATTCCAGTTCATAAAGAACTACAGTGAGCATTTTAGTCACAGCTCTGTCACTTGTGGACAGAGACAGAGAAAGCCATTTAATCTCTGTCTGCTTCAATTGGCACAACGATAAAATGGGAAAATAACTCCCTTGCTTTCTTCACAGGTGTGTGAGATTCAAATCCAACAAAACAAAGGATGTAAAAGTGCTTTAAAGAGGTAAAAATCACTATACAAATACAGAGTATAAGTAAGTAAAAAACTACATAGGGGATCATACTTATCATGCCTATGTTATAACAGATAAATGATAGCAGTAAAATTGTTTTCTACTTTTAGTCTTTGAAGATCTCAGATCAACATCCACTTTCTATTAACTGAAAAGGGTCTCATAACCTTTTGTTAATAATCCGCTAAGCCCTGTGCTAAACCTGGAGGATTCTAAGATGAGTATGGCCTGATCACTCAAAAGTATGAAGAAATGGATTTATAGCAGGGGTGGGAAGAAGAGGTTCACTAGAGGCAGAAAGTAGAGTTGGAAAAATAAAGGCCACAAAATACTGACACACACTGATAGAATGAGCAGAGCTAAGAATAAGAGTGGTCCAAAGAGTCAAAAAACATGAAATAGATGAGATTAGGTTGAAAAAGTTTAGCCTTCATGGAAGCTGATGTTGACAAAGCTATGGGTTAAAAGAGGCACCTTTATTCTCCCTCCTAGGGTTTAATGGTTCTAACTAGGTGAGGATTCTTTTCTGTTTGTTTGTCTTACAAAAAAATATGCAGTAAATGGATCTGATTTTTTACCTGAAGCAAAAGTAGGGAAGAACAAATGATACCTATTTTATAACACAGTCTCATGATAATGTACAGAATGATTTCACCTGGGAAGCTGCTGCACGTAGACTCACAGCAGTTATGGGGAATTAGCAATTGTTAACAGACAAAGCCCCTTTAAATGATCCCTAAAGGACAAAAAGTTTTGTTTTCCTTTGATATATTTTAAAATTTTCTTAATATAGCTTTTAAAATTTTTAATTATTATGGGTACATAATAGTTGTATATCTTTATAGGGTACACATGATGTTTTGATACAGGCATACAATTTGAATTAATCAAATCAGGATAATTAGAGTATTCATCACCTCAAGTATTTAACATTTCTTTGTGTTGGGAACATTCCAATTCCACTCTTTTACTTATTTTAAAGTATAACCTAACATTGTTGTTTGTACTCACTTTGTTGTGCTTTCAAATATTGTCCATTCTACCTAATTATCTAACTATATTTTTGCACCTATTAATCAACCTCACTTTATCCCCCCATTCTCATTACTGCCTCTAGTAACCATCATTCTACTCTCTGCCTCCATGAGATCAATTGTATTTAATATTTAGCTCCTACATATGAGTGACAGCATGCAAGATTTGTCTTTTTTGTGCTTTGCTTATTTCACTTAACATAATGTTCTCTAGTTGCAAATGGCAGGATTTCGTTCTTTTTTGTGGCTATACAATATTAAATTGTGTATACGTATCACAATTTCTTTATCCATTCATCTGCTGATGAATACCTAGGTTGACTGCATATCTTGGTTATTGTGAATAGTGTTGCAAAAAACATGGGAGTAGAGGTATCTTTTCAATACAATGAATTCCCCTCCTCTGGATATAAACTCAGCAGTGGGACTGCTGGGTCATATTCCGTACCGTTCTCCAGAATGGTTATATTAATTTACATTCCCACCGGCAGTGTATAAGGGTTCCCCCTTCTTCACATCCCTGCCAGCATTCATTATTGACTGTCTTTTTAATAAAAGCCATTTTAACTGGGATGAGATATCTCATTGCAGTTTTGATTTACATTTCTCTGAAGACTAATGATATTGAGTATTTTTTCATGCCTCTTGGCCATTCATTTATATGTCTTCTTTTGAGAAATGTCTATTCAGATCCTTTGCTCATTTTTTAATCAGATTATTTGCTTTTGTCCTATGGAGTTTTGGAGCTCCTTATAGAGTCTAGTTATTAATCCCTTGTCAGATGGGTAGGGTAGTTTGCATATGTTTTTCTCCCATTATTTGGGTTG